GGTTTATAGGACATTTTCTCAAAAATATCATATGAAATAGCTAACACCATGCTTTGTATTAAAAATGTTCTAAAAAACTTGTTTAGATTTTCAGAATTGCTCTATAAACTTATTACAACGCATTTAGATATGACATTTTATTTTTTAATCTTATAAAATAATTTATTAAGATGTTTAAAAAATTTATATATTAAGCACAAGGTTTCAAGTATCTTAATTAACATATAAATCTCGTTGACTTGTAAGTTCTCATTAAGTCAATCCATGGGATTTTGTATATGTACCTCCTTTTATTTTAAATTTTTATTATATTATTATATAGGGTTGGGTTCATGTGAGACCAGTCTGTTTTTGTGAGACTCGTGAGACCACTTTTTTACATTTGAAACTTCACTGCAAAATGCTGTGAAGGTAAGAAAAAGCTAAACCTTCACAGTTAAAAATATTGTGAAGGTTATGTTTTGCTGTGAAGTTTCAAGTGTAAAAAAGTGATCTCACGGATCTTAGAAAAACAGACTGGTCTCACGTGAACTCAACCCAAAAAGAAAATAAATTAATCAATTATGGATTATATGATGATGATGATGATGATGTATATGGAAAATATAAAAACATGTGATCCGATGTGGTTTGATAACTGAGAACTGCAAAACTACCCCGCAGTATACTTTTTGATAAAAATACAAACTTCAAACGGTATCGTAAAATCCCAAACTGTACGTATGGTATGAGCAGATTAAACGGTTTATTAGTACAGATAATCATTCGTAACAAAATATATGAAAATATAAATAAAAGTTTTGATCTTGTTATGGATATTTCTTTTAATTAACAGACATGAAAAAGTAACGTACTTTAACTTGATTTCTATTTTAGTTAACGTATTTTTAAAACTTCTATTTTGATACCTAAGATGTAAAGTTTTAAACATTTAAGTATCCAGATAACCGATTAAAATATTAACCGGTTATCATACTGATACAGTATCCAGTTAATGCATCAGTAAATAATTTAAGGATTAGTGGTTAATGCATCCTCCCCCAACTTTCTCTTGCTTCATCTTTAATGTTTGAATGATTAGCAAGTCATTGTCAAAATTAAAATCGCAATTATTAAAGCTATTTTACAATACACTTTTTTATTACATTCTAACCTAACTTTATTTATTTTTTAATCATTTTTGCATGATAAATAGGAAATATTAAATCTTTTTTTATTAACATGGATATCCAACCTGCTATGCGAGTTGATTAATCTCAGTACGACCACCTGCTTCGCGGGTAGCCCGGAGTCACTGCATTTGAATCTCCGTTGCCATAAAGAGATTTTTATTCCTCCTTGGATTTGAATATGAGACCTCTAGACACTTTTGATCTTTGGAGTCCAAGCTCAAACTAATTAGATATCACTCTTGTGGTTTACTTTGGAGGATTTGTTTGAGATGCTCTTAACATAACAAATATATTATCACCGGCCACACTTTGGGAATGAATTTCCATTCCTCCCGGTTTAACTTGGAATGAAAATTTGGGTTTATGTTGGAATGAACCCATTATATGATATAAAAAAACAAACAGTTTCTTTTATTTTCATTCTCATTGATTACTGTTTAATATCTCTAATCAAACACCCTATAAGATCTTAACATGATTCTAATTTGATTGGTTTGAGTTTGAGCTCCAAATGTCAAAAGTGTCTGGAGGTCCCACGGTCAAATCCAAGAAGGAATAAAATTTTTATTATAGCCACGAAGGTTCAAATGCAGTGACTCCAATGATACATAGCAGTTTAGATATCCAGGTTAACTAAATAAAAAGAAAACATGATTCTAATTTGTATATTCCATGTTTTATTTATGAATGATTTTTGGATTTTTTAATTAAATAAAATATAATACATGTTTTGTCACTATATATATATATATATATATATATATAACTTTATATTCTCCAATTATTTAATTAGAAAAATGTGATATTGCTCAACCCAAAAAGCTATCAACATGCTCCCAATCCAACCCTTTTCTTTAAAATGTTTATACTATTTTTTTCTTATATTTAAATATATTTTTAATATTTAAAAATCATTTCAATATTTAAATCCAAATTGTTTTAATTATTTTTTGAACAATTTTAAATAAATTTAGTAAATTTAAATATAATATGTCATGACACCTAAACATTTTAATAAAACTTCTATAAAAAAAATTGATATAAAATTATGTAATTTAACTTCTTTTTTATTTTATTTATTAGAACAAAGTTAGGGACCGTTTACTAAACGCTTATCTGATTAAACGTTTATCAAGCCACGTTACCATATCGGATAAATATGGTAAGGATCAACAATCTTACCCAGTAAGAAACTAAGAACGAAACAAGTACCAAGTCTTACCCGATAAGTGAAGGCGACAACTTTTACCATGGTAAGCGTTTATTGGGTAAATTGTTTCATACGATGTTGTTTTGTTGGACTAAAAATCTTACCCTGTAAGTAAGCGATAGCGTTGAATTCATATTTTAATACAAGGATGATTTATGAACTTTTCATTAAATCAAAAATTAAACTGCATAAAAAAGTAACGTACTTTAACCTAATTCATATTTTGTGTATAGTAGTTTCAAAACTTTCATTTCGGTACCTAAAATGTACAGTTTTAAACGTTTAAATACCTGAGTAACCGGTTGAAAACTAATTTTAGATTAAAAAAATCTCTGTCACTAACCACGTCAGCAAATAATACTGAGTTGGATACTACATCAACATGATAACCGGTTAATTATTCAACAGATTAACCAGATACTTAAATGTTTAAATCAAAATTAAAGTTTATTTTATATTTTAGAAAAGGAAAATAATAAGATTACCAAAAAAAAAAGAGATGATGTTGAGTCACATACACCAAAATTGAAAGCAAAATGATATTTGGGCAAAAAAGATCCACCAAATCTTTCCTCCAGAGTTGAAGGTCCACCTACACCTCATTCACAACTTTGACTACAGTTTTAATTCCAGTCAACCCTCCTATCATCCTATTGTTATCATTTATAGGTAGGACTGTAAATGAACCGAACGTTTAGCGAACCGTTTATGAACCGTTTGGCGGGAAGTTCGTTTATGTTCGTTTATTTAATAAATAAACGAACATGAACAATTTTTTGTGTTCGTTTAGTTAAACGAACGAACATGAACAAGAGTCTCGTTCGTTCATTTATGTTCGTGAACGTTCATTCATTTACCGTTCGTTCACGTTCGTTCATTTATCGTTCGTTTACGTTCGTTTATGTTCGTTTATATATTAAATTTAATATACAATCTTTTATTTATTTACTTTGAATTCAAGTAATATTTATTTATGTTCGTTTAGCCCGTTTGTTTATGTTCGTTTAGCCCGTTCGTTTATGTTCGTTCGTTTACGTTCGTTTAGCATGTTAACGAACGAACATAAACGAACACGAACACACCTTATTTCTAAACGAACGAACACGAACACACCTTATTTCTAAACGAACGAACACGAACACAAAGATTTTCGTTCGTTTACCGTTCGTTTGTTCAGTTAAGTTAAACGAACGAACATGAGCAAGCCTCCGTTCGTGTTCGTTCGGTTCGTTTACAGCCCTATTTATAGAGTTGTAAACGATACGAGACAATTTGTGAGCTAATTGAGATTGACTCGGTCAAAGTTCGTTCAACACTCGATTCGAATAGGTTCGGCTCGACATATTAACGAGTCGAGTCAGGCTACCCAATACTCGACTCGAAAACCTCGTGAGTTACTCGATTATTTTATATATAATTATTTTAAAATATAATCAGTTTGTATGATAAAATTTATAAAATATAAATAATAAAAATGTCTTATATTTTTAGATATTTAAACAAAATCATGCATTTTTTAATTATAAAAATTAATCAATTATTCTTTATTAAAATCACAAATAAGAAAAGACAAATAAAAACTATAAAACGGGTTAGTGAAATTGTCGCACATTGGAAAAGAGATGGTAAAGAAAGGGAGAAAAGATGTTATAATAATATAGGGAGATAAATGGAATTTATAACTTTGTCTTTTTTATGATGAAGTTTGAAGTTGATCCCTTTAGTTTTATAAAAACTAAGAAAACACCTTTAACTTTTAAAATTTATATAAGAAAAAGACCATAAAATTTCATAAATTTTAATGGGTGAGTTTGGTTCAAACTTGATTTGAGTTCGAGTTCAAGCTTGATTCGAGTTACAGTTCGAGCTCGAGTTTGAGCCTGATTCGAGCTCGAGTTCGAGTTTGAGAAATAGTTATCGAGTTCGATCCCACGAGGATGAGCTAACTTCAAAAACCTGTTCTCGGTCTGGATTGCAGATTTATTCATTCTATCAATAACCGAGTCGGATTGCAAGACCCCAATTCTTGACAATATATTTGCATAAACTATGATTAAAACAAGAATTTATTTCTATAAGGACAAATTGCATGAAAAAATAACATACTACTTTAACTTGATTCCTATTTTGGGCAACTTACTTTCAAAACTTTCATTTTTGTACCTAAGATGTAAATTTTTAAACATTTAAGTATCGGGTAACGGGTTGAAGCATTAACCGGTTACCATGCTGATGTGACGAGTGATGTGGTACCCAAGTCAATATTATTTGCTTAAATATTAACCGGATACCACATCATCATAGTAACCGGTTAATGCTTTAACAGTTTACTTGGATACTTAAATGTTTAAAACTTTACATCTCAGATACCAAAACAGAAATTTTAAAAATGCGTTATCCAAAATAAGAATCAAGTTAAATTACGTTACTTTTTCAAATAATTTACCATTTCTAGGAATTACTAAAAAAAAGAATTTGATAAAAAAAAAATTATTTTCTTAAATATTTTATATATTTAATTGGATCTAAATATGCGTGCAACATAGAGTTCACGGGTAGGCATATCAAAAGTGGATGGCCCTACCCACGAATGGATCATTACTCTATTTTATATGAGCTGGCTTCATTTTTTTTTTAATATCTATTAATTTTTTTTATTTTTATTTAATAAATCATAAATTTAAATTGATAACCAATAATTCTTTGATAATAAATAGATTTAATAACTGAATCACCTATTTTTGATACGGTAAAAAAATTTATCTGTAAAAATCGGTTGAGCAGATAAACAAGAGCTTACTGGGACCTTCATAGTTCGACCTTGAAAACAAGGGTGGACTCTGTTGTAGTATAATTAATTATAGGGTCGTGAAAGATGTTATTGTATCTGTTTGTTGTGTGAAACTGTATATATTTTGAAACTGTAACAATGACACAAGTTTTATTTGGTATAGTTGGTTTCCATGGTTTTGTCCTGCCAGTTTTTAACTTTTAATTTCAGATTTATTATGCTTCAAAATTTTTTAGCGATGAAAGACTCGAACACTGGACCTCATATACGAAAAGCAACGAATTAACCGACAAACCAATAATGATTTTGTGGAAAATATCCATATTTTTGTTTCTTATAGTAAAAATAGTGTCACCACTTGAAAAAAGTGATTGGTCCGCCTTTGCCTAAAAAGGCGCAAGCTGCCGATCCATTTTCATTTTCAAAACCGACCTAATTTATCTTCAATATATGTTCTTATGTTTTCTCTCATCAACGGGTCTTTTAGATAATAATCTAATGAGGTTCCACTCATTCTAACATGGTATCAGAGCCAATGTTTCAACAGTTTGAGACATTCTGTGCCCGTCTAGCCTCCTCTCCGCACTCTCTGTGCCCATCTAGCATTCCTTAAGAATGTCATGTTGAGTCCCACATCGTCTAGACTTGGATCTGCATACATTTTATCCTCCCAAACTAGGGTGTAAACAACGCTGATTGAGTCAAGTAGTAGGTTAATCGAATTGGGCTTGAAAAATTATTATCAGATCTGAGCTCAATTAACTTTTTCAAAGTAGGCTCAGGCTCGAGCTTGAATATTTTTCGAGTTATTGAGCTCAATTACTTTTTCAAAGTAGGCTCAAGCTCAAGCTCGAGCTCATATATTTTTTGAGTTATCGAGCTCGATGCTCGTTTATGGGTTCGAACTCGCGATCGATTAACTCGTTTTTTGATTTGAGCTAAATAATTTTTATATTTTTTTTGTATGATTAATCAATATATAACAAACTTGGCTCGAAAAAATGAAATGCATGCTCATATGGCTAGACTCGGCTCCACTAAAAAATTTAATCAAGTTTTCAAACGAACCAAGTTGAACATTAGTGTTATAAAGCTCGGCTCGTTAAATTAAACAAGTTCTACTTTGTGTTCGAGATCGACTCGAGCTCGAGAATTATAGCCCGAACTCGAGATTAGCTCGTTAAAAGCTCGAATAGTTTACACCCCCTACCCAATACTTTATTCCATGTAGGATGCTTAAAAATTGACAAAAGAATTATATGACAAAATCCTACCAAATTATGAGGCATCTCCTACATTTAAAGCCAAAAGTTGACAAGTTCCAAAAGAATACAAAACATCAATTTGCATCAAGTTATTGTATAATATGGTGTCTTGACACCGCGGTTTTCCGTTCCGTTTGCGAGAAAAACGTGAGTGCGGTCGGAAAGGTGCAAATGTTATAGATTTATTGGAACACGGAGCCCGTCATAACTGAGTTGTACGTCTAGACCTTCGGTTTCCATCAACTTCAATAGACCTTCATTCTCTTTCTCATGATCCATCAAATGCATCATGCCTTTATCCATCACATAAAACAAGTGATTATTTGATGAAAACGCATGTGAAAACGGTTTTCCGACACTATTCTATCCATTCCAAACTAAGAGGCCGTTTACTAAACATTTACCTTCACTTTACCTTGGCAGATGAATATAGCAAAAACCAATAACCTTACACGGTAAGAGCGATGATAAGGGCCGAGTGTCTTACTGAGTAAGGTAAGTGAAAGTGCTAACTTCTATCAGTAAACGCTTACCAGGTAAAGGTAGTAAAAGTAAGCATCTGGGTAAACGGCCCCTAACTAGTCCTATGCAGGTTACTTTTAAAGGGTTATTCTGGAGAATAACTTTTTGACATTTTTTTAAATGCATGACCTTCTGACAGATTTAAGAACACCTCTGTCTGACACAAGAATGACTCTTCCTAACACAAGAATGCCTCCAAATATTTCTGAAGGTTATTCTCTAAATAACCCTACTTTTCAACTTCATAATTGATGCAAATTCTAATTGGTATGTAAAAAAAGATCGATATATAACCAAAAGATCTTGATTCCTTTCCATAATCGGAGTCTAGTTTTAACTAGAGATACACAAAAAAGCCCAAACCTAAAGCCCAGCCCGAAAAATCCCGGGACTAGTGAGCCACAAGCCCGGTCAAGACCAGGCCTCAAAGCCCGATCAGGCCAAAATTTTGAGGTCAGGCTAGGCTCGAAAAATTCTGTCCCGAAGAAGCCCGATCGGGCCCATTTCAACCCCAAAGCCTGGGCCTTTTTTTGCTCACCGAAACGGGTTTGGAAGGCCAGGGCTTTGTGCATCTCTACTTTCATGCATTTGGGTAAAAGATGCAACCTATAGACCGGTTGAAAAGCCAAACAAAAGTACAAAAAGAGAGCGCATACCTGTAAAAAGGGTTCTTTTTGGTCGGATTTTTCGGACTTCTTCCAAAGCCTAGGGTTAAAAAACGACATGAGCATAAACACGATAACAAATTATTAGTAGAAAAATTCTAGAAATTCAACCTTTGGAAGTCCAAAATGCGTTGAAGATGACCGATCTGGCCTCAGCGCATCCTGAAAAAAAATAAATATAAAAAATACACGATTATAAGTGGAAATTTCGAACATGAGCATGGAGGTTGTATGGGGGAGGATGGAGGATATGATTACCATTACAAGGACTTCACAATCTCTTAAAAGGGGATAAGTTTCATCAGGTATTTCGCTAACATCACTGCAACAATTGAAGGATTAGTGTCGAAGATGTTTGTTATACACTTGTGTATCTTGAGCCACGACAAGGCCACGACGTTTTTCAAGGCGTGACTTATAACAGAATATCTTTATCCCATATATATATATATATATATGTGTGTGTGTATAATATATATGGGATATTTAGGTATATGACGAAGGATCGTGCGATAATAGAAGTTAAGATGAGAAGCTTAAGGGATACGGACCCTTGATCACTTTAAATCTCACCCCCACCACATGAATTGTGCTTCTCACGGGAATTGATCCGGTGCATCTCGGTTGACCACATTAGTGTATTGAACCAAGGGTGGAGATCCTTCTTCCCCTTCTCACCGTAACTTCCATTCTCATCGAAACCCAAACCGGTCATGGCGAAGGATCGTGTGAGAAAGAAAGTTATTGTGAGAAGCGTAAGAAGAGATTTGAACCCTTGATCACTTTTAATCTCATGTCCACCCATGAATTGTGCTTTAGAAGAGAATTGATCTGGTGCATCTCGGTGCACCTCATTAGTGTTGACATTCAATTAGAATTGATCCGCGGATGGAGATCTCTTCTTACGCTTCTCACCGGAACCCCCTAAAGGTCATATCCCACAATGACCCATATATATAGGGCCCGTTTCACTTACAAACTATACAAACCACTATATTAGGAAACAACAGAGATATTTATGGACAATTATCATGATTCATTAATTATGATCGAGATATATATGGAAGATGATAATGTTCATTCATTATGATCATGAATTTAAAATTAGACTAGATGGACGGCTAAAATTAGTTTGTATAGTTTGTTAGAGTTGGATGGTTTGTAATTGAAACGTCTCCTATATATGTATTACATATGCATGTGTATGTAGAGCATGTTACAGAGTACAGATTCGGCATTATTACCTGATGTAACAAACGCTGCCAAAGCGGAAACCCAAGGAACGGTAATTACGACCATGCCACACCGGTAGCGGGGTAAACTAAAAGCACAACACATGTCACAACATCATAACAAGGTACCATAAAACAAATATATCTACCAACTAATTTCAACAAAATTAAAACTAAACCAAATGAACCCAATAAATCCCACTCTAAAGTAGGATCCGAGTTAGAGAGGTGAGGTTTACGCAGACCTGACCTCTATCCCAAATAGCAGAGCGGCTTACTCCGTGTTGTCATATACAACGGAAGAAATAAATAATCAATTTCATCAATATTATTAATTCATGGAAATATCAAGAAAGCAAAAATTCTAACCTTAAGATCATGTACAATGAATGGCTTTTCTTGTATGATATCGAATTGCAGCTCCGAGACCGCAGCTCCGGGTGTGACCACGCTTGTGTCCACTAGATAATAATGGGTTTTTTTCATCACCTACAATCGATTTGTAAAACATCGGCTTTATCGTCATTATTTCTATAATTCGGAAAATATACCTATTTTAGTTAACGATATGACAATGAATGGTTCACCGAGAGTTAGCTTTCGACCTCAAAATCGCGCTCGGCTACGTAAATTGGAATATACGGCTGAACGTTGTTTGTCCAGTCACGAAGGTCGTCCAAACCTAAAAAAAATACACCAAACCAACTTAACGGAGATGTTTGTGCATAATTACGCTTGTTACCTCCGTGCCAAAATAAATTTTTACAATGAAGAAGGCGCACAGTTTTAGAAATGTGTAATTAATACACTTTTTAATCAATTAAAATGTCAATTTTACCCTTAATGATAGACGAAGTAATAAATTTCTCTATCTAACAAGGGTAGAATTGGAAGCAAGAGGCTGTTCGGTTGGTTTTCTATCAGGTCCTGTATAGATAAAGTTGTCTTTGTGGATTAATCTGTCTGTATAAATTGGGAAGATTTTTGTTTGGAAGGGTTTTTTCATGGATGAAAGGAGCTTGTTTTTTAATTGGAAGAGGCGGGTTTGAAAAAACTTGGCTTTCTACATAAAGCTCCCCCCTAGAAACTTACTCAATAAGTCACTTTCTATATCATTAAGCCACTGCCAAAGAGTGATGTATAGCTGACCGAATAAGTTGTGAGTCTCATTAAGCTCGTTAAGTTGTTAATAAACAGACCCTATAATTACTTTTAAAAGTGGACACTTAATTTGGGACAAAGTAAAATAAAAACGTGGGTAGATTGTTTTAGAAATATGTAATTATTACAATTTTTAATTAATTAAATGACAATTTTACCCTTAATGATAGAGGAAGTGATGAATTTCTCCGTCTCATAATTAAGGTAGAATTGGAAAGTAGGCACTTACTTTTGAAAGTGGGCCTTTATTTTGGGGCAAACTAAAGTAGAAATGTGGACAATTATTTTGGGACAGAGGAATACGATAATGTAAAACTAAACAAGAAAGTTAACATCGAAGACCTCCAATTGCATCAGCATGAGAATGAGTAATCACAACCGCATCTAGTGTTCGTATCCTGACAAAATAAACATACAAGAAGTCGAAAAGTATTCAGTATTTTTGCGGCAAAATATATGTGTAGGGTTAGGTTCAAGGGGAAACCACAAAAAATGAAAAACTGAGGAACATTTTGATAACCATTCATCTAGACGGTGTGCACATGTGCATACAAGTAATTTATAAACAACATGTGCATAACATGCACACATGCATGGAAACCAAGAAACAACTTCAATTACATGTATCCACATGTGCATACCGTCCAAATAATAGTTATCAGAGTATTCCTCAGTTCTCTATTTTTTGGGGGTTTTCCCCTGAACCTCCCTCTCTCTCTCTCTATATATATATATATGTAAGAGAAAATGAGCCATCTTACCCATAAGTAGGGAACCAACGAAGAGCACTTTGGTAGAAGAACCTGTAAGACGAGCAACAAGCGTTGATGAATAGTTCATATGATTATGATATTAAGGACAATGCAAGTAGATACATGCTGCTCGTGCTGTAACGTTGAACAGTAAGCAAGAGTACAAGGGCATAATGGTAAAATCACTTGCTGTAACTATTTCCCAAATTAGTTAGTTAGTTGGTTTGGGACCGGTAATTAGACTCATAGGTTTGTAAATAAGTAGTCATTGATTAATTTACGTCGGTAATTTTCATTAGGAACCTGAGGAGAGCCCACAACACAAGTGGCACTTATCAAGAATATGAACGTGTTATTCATCATGAATGTATGATTCATGATGAATATTCATCCTGAAGAGGGACACTTGATGCATTGTGGATGGTTCTAGGGTTACTAATCAATTTTGGGTTCCTAATGAAACTTCCTTCGTACAATGACTATTTATATACAAACCATAAAGTCTAACTATTGGTCACTAACAAACTGACTAACTAATTTTGGAAATAGTTACAACAAGTGATTTTATCATTCTACCCTAGTATGCCTCTCATACAACTATTACTGTTCAACATTACAGAACCTACACATCTCAAACAATAATACGCAAATGCAAAAAGCTTCATCGAGAATCAAACAAAAAAGGCAAAAACCCACGATCGTAGACGTATAGACAAAACCATTGACGAAAGCATTTTTACGTACTTGCCGGCATCTATAAGAATGTTACATATGCCAGAGGGACGAGGATAACGAATAAGGATGCTTGTATTAAGTCTCTTATTCTTATTTCCAGGTTCCACAGCTTTTGAGCAAACCTGAAAAGCCATTGAGATACTCATATTGCTGGAAAGAAAGACTAATGGGCAAGTTTGTTAACAGCTTAATGAACTTAATGGAACTCACACCTTATTCGGTCAGCTATAGATGACTGTTTGGTAGTGGCTTAATGATATAGAAAGTGGTTTATTCAGTAAGCTTCTAGGAGGAGCTCTATGCAGAAAGCCAAGTTTTTTCCAAACCTACCCTTCCCAAATAAAAAAATGCTCATTTCATCTATGAAAAAACCCACTAAAACAAAAACTTTCCCAATCTATAGAGACAGATTAATCCACACAGAACTTCATGGAAAACCAACCAAACAGCCCCAGCAAGATTTAAAAACCCACTTGTTCTTATAAAATGAGTTGACTCAGTTTGATGGTTACCAGGCATTTCTTTAAGGGATCGGTAAGGCAGCTCACTCGTGGAATTCCTTCACTGGTTCCTGTCCCTATAAATATGATTTCTGGTTGCTCGAGAGTTATCTGCTCTCCTTTCTGTACACCTGCAAGATAACGAGTAGTTTCACATTTGTCACGAAGTAAAAGCCAAAATGTTTATGATGAAGATGTTATTAATAAAAACGATTTTTTAACAAAAATGCTGCTGGACTCCTGCATATATACAGGGCAGATCTCAAAGAAATGACAGCTCCCTATTCATTCTGCCTAAACAGTTCATTCCAAGGCTATGGGCATGTTTGTTAGCAGCTTAATGAGCTTAATGGGACGCACAGCTTATTTGTCAGCTATACATGACTGTTTGGTAGTGGTTTAATGATATAGAAAGTGGCTTATTCGGTAAGTTTCTAAGGGGAAGCTTTATGCAGAAAGCCAAGTTTTTCTCCAACCCTGCCCCTCTGAATTAAAAAACACGCTCATTTCATCTATGAAAAAACTCTGCAAAAAAAAAGCTAATCTATACAGATAGATTAATCCATACAGATAGCTTTATCCATACAAGACTTAATAGAAAATCAAGCAAACATGTTTGACATGGCTGATAAGCTAGCAATGTAAAATGACCTAAAAAACATGTTAAAAATTAATTGTAAATATACAAATGGCATAATTAGAACAAAGTAGACAAAAGACAAGGAGCTTTTTGAAAGACATAGGAGCATCTCCAACACGTATGCTATATTCTCTCTTCTTCCAAATTTGGAGATTTCTCCGTTTTCTCTCCTATTTTTTCCTCTATTTTAGAGGAGAGTTTTAGCATAACTGTTGGAACAAACTTTTCCCGGATCTCCAAAATTTCTAAAATAGAATGGCTGTTGGAGATTAGCAGCTTAATGTGCTTAATGGACTCACAGCTAGGTCTTGAAAAAACTGCATCTTTACAAAATTCATACCAAGCCATTGAATTGTTTGAATTTTTAATTGTTAGCAGCTTAATGAGCTTAACAGGAATCACAGCTTATTCAGTCAGCTATACATGACTGTTTGGTAGTGGCTTAATGATATCGAAAATGACTTATTCAATAAGTTTCTAATGGGAACTTTATGTAGAAAGCAAGGTTTTTCCAAACCTGTCTCTCCGAATTAAAGAAACTGGCTCCCTCCATCTATGAAAAACTCTCCCAAACAAAAACTTGCTGATCTGTACAGGCAGATTAATCAATACAGCTTTATCGAGGACTTAATGGAAAACTAACCAAACATGTAGCACTTCAAAAGGCCAGAGCTGACCAAAGTACCATTGAATAAAATCTTAGGGTAAGATTAGAGATACGGAATTACAGACTAAAATTGGAAAACAGGTTCAAGTAGCTCAACCATTAGTCTTTCTTTAATGCTGATTCCATGATATCGAATTGAAATCTCAAACATACAATCCACGATACTTTTGCAACTTATAACACTCTAATTCCATCATCGCCCTCTATTCTCTATACATATAGACATATACATGTACATATAATATATATATATATATATATATATATATTAATCGTTTTCAAGTTTGCAATCACACACATAAACCATCAATTTCAGAAACCCCAGTTTCAGGGATAACTTCCAAACACATGAAATCAAAGAAAAACAACAGCAATTCATAGAGAAACTCACTCGAATTCGTATGTACGGGAGCAGCTGAAAGAATGCGGTTGAAATAAGGAAGACGTCCACGAGAGTTCTCATATCTAGAACCTGAAGTTGATGAAGGATTAGCTTTCGAAAACGATAAATGGGTGGTCAGACGAGCGAAACGGGTGAAGCAAGTAGGAGAAGGACGAACTGCTCCTTGTGTTAAGATCATCTGGGACCCTAACACTCGCAGTGAAAGACGACGACGACTCCCACTGGTTCTATGGATCACAGAACCCTTGTTCAACAAACACTTTTTGGTCACATATTCTGTGAAAAGGGTTTAAACCAGAAGATGAAGATCTTTTCGTTGATTATGAAAATTTTTCATTTTCACCCTTCAACTTACGTGAGAGTTCAAAATCTACCTTTTATTATTAGATATTGTCGTTTTGATTTCGGAAAGGACTTTTAGATTTTCAATTATTGTTTGCCTCTTAATAGTTCCATTAAGAGGTAGTCTCTGAATTATTAAGAGATAAATTTTGTTTGGCAAAAAAAATATATTTCTTAATGGTTCTAAAACTCTCTGAATGATTTTGTATCTTAAGTCTCCATTAACCATTCAGCGTTCTAATTTCGTTGTAAACAATTATATTCCATTTTGCACTATATCCAATAAGGAGCGCGTTAGCTAGGTCGTTTTCCTACAAGAGTGCTAGCGCACGCCCTTATGTTTTCCTGGTACCTTCTTGAGTTAGCGTAAGCGGCTCGTAAGACCAAGGAATTAGCCACCTTCCGGTTGAGAAGAAAACTAGACTATGCTAAACGGCGTGAGAACCTCTTAATCATTCTGATCACTTAATCATTCTGCACCAAACCATTCAGCAACTATCAAATAGCCCATAAATTACGTTTTTCGTTCTTGTGGTTTGTTGAAAATTTCTACTTTCGTCTTCATAGTTTTGAAATTATAATTTTTGTTTCTATGGTTTGTAATTCATTATCTTTTTCATCGTCATTATTTACAATTCATTTATATTTTAGTTCTTTAATACTTAAAAGTCATGTTTTGGACTCATGGATGAAAATATAAATGAATTGCAAACCATAGAAATGAAAACCCAAATTTTGAAATCACAATGACGAAATCCGTAATTTTTAACAAACCACGTAGACGAAAAAAAGGTAATTTTAATTAATTAATTTCGGGAGGCAATTTTTAATTAATTTAAGAGCAAACTACAATATTGGTCCCTGCGGTTTGTTAGAAAACAACACTTTTTGGTCCTTTCAGTTTTTAAATTACAATATGATCATCTTGATTTGTAAAGAAAGTTTGTATACGGTCCCTCCCTCTAACTGGCGTTAAAAATTCCGTTAAATGAGGGGCAATTTCGTCCTTTTATCAATTTTCTTTCTCTAACCTAGTAAAATTAGTTTGATGATTTTGGCTCTTGTGGTTTTTAATTGGGTAAGAGATAAAAAATCAATAAAAGCACAAAAATGACTCGTTTAACGGATTTTTTTAACAATCGTTAATGAGAGGGACAAAATCCAAACGTTTTTACAAACCACGATAACAATCTTGTAATTTTGAAACGACAACCACAAAAGGTATTGTTTTTGACAAACCACATGAACCAACCAAATTTATAGCTTACTCTTAAATTAATTTGTGTTACGCATTAATTAGGCTTGAAATTGGCTCGGGGTCTTAGATTGAATTATTCGGTCTATTTTTCAAGTTAGGTCAAGTTATAAGCTTATTAAGAGATGGTCGAAGTCAGTTATTAACCAGTTGTCATCCCAGTTTTAGGGGTTGTTTACCAAACGCTTATCGGGTAAGCTCTTACCAAATCACGTTAGCTTATTGAATGAATATAAGAATGATCAATAATCTTACCTAGTAAGAGCTAAAGCAAAAACCAAGAGTCTTACCCGGTAAGTAAATGCGATGACTCTTACCATGGTTAGCGCTCATCGTGTAAGTTATTTCATATTATACCATTTTGATGGATTAAAAACTTACCAAATAAATAAGTTGAATTTTACCGGTAAGTATCTACTCCGGTAAGCGTTTTGTAAACGGACCCTTAGTCCTCACTTCACATTCATTCAATGGATGCCTCATAACCGACATTAGTTAAGGGATAAAAATGTAATTGACAAAAACTATTCCTTGAAAAAGTGGTTCCCATCCAATGTTTTTCATACCTGTGGTTTGTCGTAGAGATATCTAAAAAACCGTCAGATCTGGAAACCGATTGAACCAAGTCAAATTGAACCTTTTTTGGCAGTTTGAGCAATTTGATAGTACGGTCCGATTTGAATAATAGTCACTTCAATCAGTTCAGTCCAGCCTGAGAAAACCTAGTTTACACTGTTTATTATTATTGAATATCAACTATTTGTATGATAAAATTTGTGTTAAAATTACATGAAAAAATAACGTACTTTAACTTGATTTATATTTTGAGTAACATCTTTGAAAACTTCTATTTTGGTACATAAGATGTAAAGTTTTAAACATTTAAGTATTCGGGTAACCGATTAAAAACTAATTTTAGATTTAAAAAATTTCATGACACTAATCACGTCAGCAAATAATACTGAGTTAGATATCACATCAGCATTATAACCGGTTAATGCTTCGACCAGTTATCCGAGTACTTAAATGTTTAAAACTTTACATCTTAGATACCAAAATGGAAGTTTTAAAAGTATGTTACCTAAAATAAGAATCAAGTTAAAGTACGTTACATTTTTATATAATTTGTTCTAAAATTTTAAATAAGATGATAAATAGCTTTAATGGCAAAACTGTAAATAAGTACTCAGAAAAACCGGAAAAAAGAAAGGAAGAAAATAACTCCATTGACCTAACATATGTCAAAAAAAGAATAAAAAAATACTGATATTGAATCGGACCCTTAACCAGTCCGGTTCAATACGAAAATAACAAATCCCATCGGGACTGGTAAGTCCCAACGATCCCTAAACGGCTAACATGCCATGTTTTAACCGGTTCGGGATTCAAGGTCTTGGTTAAAAGGCCTTCTTGATCACCTCTAGGTTTATTACTTCGATGTTAATTCAACAAATAAATCGCAACCTTTTTTGTCTCTTTAAAGACATGGTTCGAGTCCACAAAACCATACACCGTTGACCGGTGAATCTCGTTAGTAACGGTATTTGGTCGAGTAATCCTTGGGTGCAATGACCAAACCACGGCCCTTGCGGGCCCCACGGTAAACCGTTTCAACTATGTCTATAAACTCCTGCTTGTCCTTCATTGCCCAGTTAATCTTATTGTTGTTACCCGTACCAAGATCGATCATGATGTGCTTGTTCCTAAAAAAGAACATTACCGTAGACGGATCGTAAAGCTCGTACATTGTATTGAAGTCGGGTACCTCCGTGATGTCCACCAAATATATTACGGCAAAGTTCTTTATTGTTTCGGCAACTGAAGCAAGCACTTCGTCCATCTACAGATGCCAAAACAGAGTGACCAAGTTAAAATTTTAAAAAACCAATATCAATACAAAGGACGCGTTTGGTATGCAGACAGGACTGGACCAGGAGAGATAGGATTGGACCGGGAGGGACATGAGTGAGGTAGGTGGATGAAAGAATGGGGGAAGGTTTCAGGGTCTTAATTTGGCAGGGGTACTTTAGCAATTTAACAACATCTCCGACAGATTCTCCAAAACGGAGAATCAAAAGTCGAAATCTCCAAGGAAAATTTATGTTCCTCTCCAACAGTTTATTCGTTTTGAAGATTACAATATGAATTATATTATTAAAATAATCAATATATTTTATAAAATTTTATTTCTTTCTCTTATACATTTAATTTCAAGGATTCTTAGCGGTGAGAAGAATAAAAAATAATTTCTCTTTCATAAGTAATCATATTTGGAGAGTTCTCTTAATTTGGAGAATTTCTTGGAGATGTTCTAACAATCTTGTTCCATCTCAAAGATTTTTGTTCCATCTATTTTGGCGTGATAACAAAACTGCATTTTTGTCCCACTCAGTCCCATCATGTCTCCGTCTAATGTCGCGCCAAACGTGGGACAAGTGTCCAGTCCTATCTCATGTACTGAAGGCATCCAGAGGGTCATCTATCACAAGTTGATGCGAATGAAACCAAACAAACTCAATAAATCAAACACAGTACATGTTCATGCAAATTCATGTGGTATATCACCATCGGGGTTCTGAAGATTTTAGTTAAGAAGAGCTAAATCCTTTATGACTTCAATCGCAAGATGATGATCACTAAATTGGCTGATACAGTGCCGCAAGGTTTAACTGTTCGGTTTTCCAATAAAGCGAAGTCAGATGACCGTCATCATCAAACAATCAATCCCTTCCACCGATCTACATGTTTTATGAACTCCAAAACAAACCCCAATGCCTAGATATATTCACACTTCATAATCCAGGAGTTTTCACAATGTATGACTTTGTGCCTATGTCCAGATTCAATTAACTCATGGAACTCAATTTCAAAAACTTATGAGATTAAGTGGTTGTAGTCCTTCAGAGCATATATAACAAATAAGATAGCAGAGACTTCAAAAACCAGTTTAGATCAACCCAATATGTTATATGCTTATATTAACACATTATATCAATGTAACAGAGTTCCCATTTGCATCTAAAGCAAAACACTGGAGATTTTTGCTAACATACAAGCAACATGAAGTCTCAATCAATCAAAATTTGTCCTTAAACTGACTTCAACATTAGGATATTAAAAAAAACTACGAAAATGAATCCATGTATACACTGGATAACACCCAAACACAATCCCTAAGATACACTATGTCGACCCTGATCCACAATTACAGTCCACTTTGCACAAAAATGTCTCCATTTCCTTTAATATAACGCAGATTTACCAGTGATATTATGATGAATAATTTATCGATGACTCCATGAGACCTTTTTGCAAGTGAACAATGACTGTAGAACCGATAGAGACTAAATCATATACTAAATTGATCTAAGCTACACCAATTGCAAAATTCGGCATCACATGTATGGAATCCAATAACCAGAAAATGTAACAAATAAATTGATGAAATATCATAGACAAGGATTTCGACGGAGGATCGATAAATAACAGACAGACAGACAGCAGAAATTGAAGTGAGAGCATTCCAGATGGATGAAAACTAGGCATTTACCTGCATACAAGTTTCGTCCCAATCATGGCCGAATCGGATGACGACGAGACGTTCCTCCTCGGCGAGGATCGCCTGATCGACGGCCCAACCGGAGTGCAAGTGCGGTAGCAAGTACGACATCTCCGTCGAGAAACGACGGTTCTCCAATGGCGATGGATATCGAGGCTAACAACGGCTTTTATTGTTATTCCATTGAGATCCTTGAAGTATGTTTATATTTACACTTTGCATCCCTAATTATTAAATTTTCGGCTTTGTGGCAGAGGGACGGTCCCATAATTTTTTTTTAAACAGTGACACCATTTAACTATAAGAAACAAATGTAAATGATTTTTTTTCAAACAATGATACCATTTGACTATAAAAAACAAATAGAGGTCAATTTTTTCAAATGATGGAACCATTTGACTATGAAAATGACATTAACATGATTCAAGCTCGAGTCTAGGTGGAAGAAAAGCTTTGCAAACCAACTCTACCGAAGAAAACTTGTTCTCAATGTACCTTCAAAATATATACGGTGACACACAACAAATTGATACAGTGACATTTTTTTTACCTTGTTGTGGTATAAATGAAGGGTTACATTTGTTGGAATCACACGTTGTTAAACCTGTTTGGATATGTGAAACATCGAAAGATTTGTTAGAATATCTACAACAGATTCTTCAAAATGGGGTTTGGGCAATTTTTTTGGTCCAACATGTTCTCTAAAATGAAGAAAGTAAGGGGGTGTTTGGGATTGCTTATTTAAAACAACTTGTGCTTTTTTTGTAAAAGTTCTTATTAACTTATGTGGTATCAAACCGGAGTTAAATAAAACATAGTTAAAATTGTAAAATGGTAATAAGCAGTTTTTCATAAGTCAGGAATGATTAACTTATCAAAAACAGCTTATTACCGGTTTGGCACCGATATAAGCAGTTCTTTTTTTCCTTATCCAAACACCAAAAAACAGTTTATCACCGGTGTCAAACTGAAATAAGTTTAAAAACAGCTTTTATAAGCAATCTCAAACACCTCCTAAGAGAAAAAGTGTAAATTTCTCCAAATTTGAATAAGGGTCTATTTGTTTTTTTCAAAATTACCTCTTAGTACATTTGAAGTCTGATTCATTCAGACGTTTGATTATTAAGAACGTTTGTTTTATTCTAAAATAAAAGCTTAAAAACTCTAAATTTCCTCTAAAATTCAAGCGGTAAAGACACATCTTAATACCTCTTAATCCTAATCCGTCATCTATCGAATGGTTCATATTTCCGGGGCTATAAGAGATTTGTTAGCAAAAACTATTTATCTTTTATACGTTTGTGAAAAACTATTTATTTTTTATATTTTTTTGTAATAGTTTGACCGATTCAGATTTCAGACTTTAGATGTAAAAATAAACAATCTTACTGATCCAGATTTCAGACTTCATGACTACCTCTTATAAATCAGAAGTGAAGTCATACTTCAAACTTCAGCACCTCTTAAAAAACAAACACCATCTAACTCTCAAAAAAGTATTACCACAAGATATAAATGATTATTTAATATACTGCACCAACAAGACATCTCTAAATGAAATGTTTACGAGAGATAACTGATACTTAATTAAATGTATGAAATATTTTAATGATATAATTAATGTTGTAATCTACAAAATGAAAACCTATTGGAGTTGTTTCTATGGACATGCATTTCATAGGAGTCATGCTTTCATGCTGTAACATGTTTCTTGTTTACTTGATTTTACTAAACGTTATGCACTTGATTTTACTCGAATAAGTGAACACCAAGTCACATTACCTTATTGGATGAATATAGTAAGGAGCAAGAATCTTCCCCGGTAAGAGCGAGACAAGAATCAAGAGTCTTACTCGGTAAATGAGGGCAACGACTCTTACCACAGTAAGCGCTTACCAGGTAAGGGAGTGTTTGGGATTGCTTAAAAAAACAACTTATTTACTTATTCTAGTATGATATCGGTAATAAGCATTTTTGAGTGTTTGGATAAACAACTTATACCAATGTCAAACCAGTAATAAGAAGTTTTTGAAGAATTTAAACTCTTATAACTTATAATAAGTTGACAAGGGCTTTTATAGAAAAGTATAAGTTGTTCCAAATAAGCAATCCCAAACAACTCCTAAATTGTTACATACGATACCGTATTGGTGGACTAAAATCTTACGTGATAAGTAAATGATAATGTTAAATTTTACCAGTAATCACTTACCGGGTAAGTGTTTGGTAAACGGCCCCCAAGCCTATTATGAGTTCCATTTGGCTTTTTGGGTTGAAGGAGGTGGAGGAGGAAGAATAAGAATCAATACACATGGACCATTTTTGTAATTTACTACAAAATAAATGGACCATTTTTGTAATTTACTACAAAACAGAAGGACCATTTTTGTAATTTACTCTTTTAAGTGGATACGATGTCGCATTGATAGATATGTGTATATATATATAATATATAAATACATATATATATATTAGACACACCGTATAGAAAGGATTTTGGATTTCAAAGACTTCAGGCAACGCGGCGTCTATCTCCTTCGACCGCAAGGAGCTAGGGTTTTTTTTAACATCCTTCAAATCATCGAACTCAAAACCCAAATTCAAACCGATTCTTCACCCACCAATTTCTTCCATCATCCTTACAGAAAAAACAATTCAAAGAGCTTCATTGTTGTTGCTATCAGGTTCGTTCTTTCTCCTATCCACGGTTTCATTCTATTTATACTTGAATTTACGAACAAAATCTCGAAACCCTGATGAAAAAAAATCAATAATACTCATTCGTTTGCAGGGTTTTTTAATCGGTAGGACATAAATAGAGATATTCAAAAGGGTATAGAATTAATGGATCATCATGGCGATGTTGGAATCCACCCTTACGTTAATGGCGACGATGAGCAACTACGGTTTGATAACGTGAATCAAAATCATGAAAATTATGATGATAATGTAGATGATAGTGGTGGTGGTGGAGGCAATGAGATGAGGCATTCAATCAATGACAGTAGTCGTGAATCTTCAGCAGGGTTAGTTTGTTGTATAGTTTGTATGTTTGGTTTTGTTTTGTTTTAGGTGTTTAGAAATATATTGTTATGTTTAGTATTATAGTTTAGTGTAGATGTTTATCAGAATTTAATGTAATAATGTCTGGTTTCAATGGTGGGAGAGCTGGTAGTATCTTATATTTACACTATATCCCTCCAGTGTTCGCCAAGGATAAGAAAAAAGATGACAATTGTGTTATGAGATTGAAAGTTAACTTGTAAATTTTCTTGTGTGATAGAAAACTTTTTGTTGGAGGCATTGCTTGGGAGACTTCAGAAGGTATGTTAATGCAGCTTAATTTTTTTTATATGATATACACACACACACATATAGCCCCGCCGGGGGGGGGGGGGTCACGGGAAAATCCCCCAAAAAAATGAAAAACTGAGGATACCTTGGTAACCACTAATCTGTATGGTATACACTTGTGCATACGAGTAATTGAAGTTGTTTCTTGGTTTAACATGCACGGAAAAATTACTTGTATGCACATGTGCATATTGTACAGATGAATGGCTAGCGGATGTTCCTCAGCTTTTCATTTTTTTGCCGTCCAAACATATATATAGGTAGATGGAGGGCTGCTCAGCGGAAAACCCAAAAAAATGAAAAAATGAGGAACACCTTGGTAAGCATTAATCTGGACAGTATGCACATCTGCATACAAGTAATTGAAGATGCTTTTTGGTTTTTATGCACGTGCACATGTGCATACCATCGAGATGAACGGTTACTAGGGTGGTATTAAGTTTTTATTTTTTGCGTTTTCCCTGAACCTGACCCTATATGTGTATATACATATATTTAAATGGAATGTAATGTGACATATACTTTAGGATACATGTGTGAATGATAATTTGCATGTTGGTATGTTACTTATATGTTGGATGAAATCCCCTATAAGTTTACCATATTAATTTTTAGGGACTTTGAAGAACAACATATTAGTGTGGAAAATGTTTGATATCAACACTTGTCTTTTGATGGATTATTGAAAATAATAAGGCATGTATTTGGACATTTCATTTGAAAATGAACTCTGCAATTCTTTCATTTGACATCAATAGTTGAAGGGAAGTTTTTGAAGAGAAAATGGATCATGGAAGTGTGTAGGTTCAGTTTCGGTGGATGGGGGAGAGGGGTTGGAGGGATAGAGGTTAGGGGTGGGGGAGGACCGAAGGGGGATCTTTGCTCGGCACGCAGTGGTGTCCTTGTGCCCTAAGATGGCTAGAGAAAGGGGGGGGGGGGGTTCTTTGACCGGTTGCGAGAATTGTCGTTTTGTGCGTGTCTTTTAATATGTTTTTATGCACTTAATTATCCGTCTTCACTGTCCTGGCCTTTTTACCTTTTACACACTCTTTTCTTACACTTTGCACACTTTGTTATTTCATAAAAAAAAATTTCTATGTCTCGGGCTCCTTACAACCGTTATAATCTTGATCCTTTCTATTCCTTTCAAGATTTACCTTTCTTTTAAAAAAAATGCAAGCCAGGGGATATAGTGGGTTTATTTGGTTTTTAGTTTCTTGTCTATAAGTGCCACCAATGTAAATTTTATAGAGGGCAATAAGTTGGTTTGGTTTCTCGTCTAGAAGTGCCACTTATGTAAATTTATAGCCGGCAAAAAGTGGAGAAACAACAACTAGAAGAAGAGGGTAGGTAGTGGGTCTAACGATATAGCGACTTAAGTAGGGAAACTTATAACGTGCTTAGCAGTATCAAGCAGCGAGATTTGTCTGGCATTGTGATGGATTATCGGGGTATTTTTGGGTAAAGATTATGGGGTTTACACTTTAGCTTTACACTGCAGTCACATATATTTTTGAATAGAAATGAATTTTCTTCTAATATATACTACACATATTCATGTGGATCAAAAGAACTTTGAGACCTTATAGCAGGTTAAATATCCTTAACATGTTTGCAGGGTTTCTTTTACATGCAAACAATACAACTATTACTTGAGGTTTCTCTGTATGTGTGGGGCAGGTTCAAGTGAGAATCGTAATTTTTTGAAAACCTTAGAACTAACTATTTCATGAATTATTCATGATATATAACCCTAAAATGTTCATGAATATTATTCATAATGAATATCATGCATTTTCGTTATTCATGATATTCATCATGAATATCTATCATGAATAGTTGGTGTCTAGGTTCTCAAAATATTTATGGTTCTTATATGAACCTGCTCACTGTCTGTGTAAGCAATGAAGGTAATTATAAATTCCATACTAGTTATGAAGTTAGAAATTCATCGAATTTGAAGGTCTGCAATTTTTTAAAACTATTCACAATTTTTTTTATCATAGTGTAGCACGTGACAATCTATTCACAATAAAACAGACAGATGTGTTATTTCTGTAAAAACTTCATGGACTTCAATGAATCCAATCCAGACTGAAGCATAGCCAGTGATTCTGAATCCCCTACCCACATTGATTTGTGGCAAACTGTGACTCCTTAGCATTTAAATAGTGATACACATTTTGTGGTTGGTATTCTAAATCGTTTTTCGTATGGGTAAGTGGTATATGTTAAGCTACTACAATGCAACACTATAATTCTTTATATGTTTATGAAAATGTTTACACATCTGAATTTCGCATTATATTAAAAGAATGAATAATGTTATGCTTTGAGCATGTTTGATTGACTTGATAAATAGAGTTGCCCATATAGAACACGAAACAAAAATGGAGGATGAACAAAGGACTCTGAACAACGATGGAGGATGAGGTGGCAATCACAACTAGGAGATGAAATTTAGATCATAAAGATAAAATGTTGTATAATTTCATATACTCATTTGTAAAACATATAGACATTTTCGAGAACATGACTTTTGATAGGTGTTCTTGGAGATGTAGGACTAAGGTAGCAGACTAGGTGTAGGAACATGTAGCTAGAGTGGACAGGATGAGGGCGTTGAATAGGTTGAGGGTGGGACGAATTCGATTTTCATTGTATGATATATCTATCTTTTATGACTTCTTACTTCTTTGTTTGTTGCTTACTATATCCTAGTCTTCGGGGTTGTTTGGTTGGTTTTCCATTAAGTTTTATGTGGATAAAGTTGTCTGTGTGGATTAATCTGTCTGTATAGATTGAGAGGGTTTTGTCATAGATGGAAGGAGCATGTTTCTTAACTGGAAAGGGCATGTTTGAGAAAAACTTGGCTTTCTGCATAAAGCTCCCCTCTAGAAGCTTACTTAATAAGATACTTTCTATATCATTAAACCGCTACCAGACATTCATGTCTAGCCGATCGCATAAGTTGTCAGTGTCATTAAACTCATTAAGCTGCTAACAAGCAGGTTCTTCGAGCTTCTTACCTTTTAGCTCGCATTTTTGCACAAGAAGAGGGTCTTCACGGAAATAGTCGCCCTATCCTTTGGGGTGGAGGAGAGGGTTGCATACATCCCACCCCGAAAGCCTACTGTCAAGTGAGACATACTGGGTTTGTTTATCTAGAAAACCTTTATTTTTCCTACAGCCGTTCGAAAATGGTAAAACCCAAAATATTTGTACTTTTTTTCTCTATTGTTCATATCCCTTTAGGTTTGCTCCTGGGAACGGTTCTTGAATAACGCCAAGATTTGGTTGTTTAGATTTCTAACAGCGAGGTAATGAGAGAATTACGTAGGGTCCCTTCAAATTAAGAAATCAAGATTTGCTTTGAATAAATAAAACAAAGAAGTAGTGGTGCCAAATAACGAGAAAAAAGAGTTGGTTCTTCTATCCTGAACATACGATGATTTTCTTGATTTCTTGAGTCAATAATGCGTACAATATGTTCATTCTGGTGGTTTACCGTGTTTATCATTGCATGTTGGTAATTAAATCTTTAGCATGTTCGAATCTTTTTAGTATCGTTGTCATCATATATCATGTTTATATGTCATCATTCTTTCTTTGATAAGGGATGTTTTTTCTTCATAACGATTCAGTCTATGTTCTGTTTCTTGTTTCCAGAATCCTTCAGCAATTACTTCAGCAATTATGGAGAATTGACAGATTCTGTGATAATGATGGATAAAATTTCTGGTCGGCCTCGTGGGTTTGGATTTGTAACATTTGCTAACCCAGCGGATGCTGATAAAGTCTTGGAACAAGATCATGTCATCGATGGCAGACCAGTAAGAGACATGCTTGTGATGTTTATAATATGAAATGGCAGATATTACTTGGTATCTATTTGTACTCATTTTGCTTTTTAATGTATCCTTGAATCAGGTTGAAGTGAAGAGGACCGTTCCGAGAGAAGATATGCAGGTTAATAGAGGGGTATCGAGAACGAAGAAAATCTTTGTTGGTGGGATACCATTGACTTTAACAGAAGGTAATTGACCCTTGGTTGATTGATATTTTAGTCTATGAATGAATCTAATTGTGCTAGTCTTTATCTATTCTAACTGTTTACCCACACTCTTGCACATGCCCCTCCCGGCGCATGTGCGGGGGCTTCATGGATACAGCCACTTATATCTTTGTGGTAGAGGGCAGGTCTGCATACATCTCACTCTGACCCACTTTCGAATGGGGTTTAGTGGGTTAGTTTGGTTTGGTTTTGGATGAATCAAATTGTGCTAAGCCAGGGTCTTCACGGAAAACAACCACTCTCCTCTTTAAGGGTAAAGGTCAAGTCTGCTTAAATTTCACCCTAGACACTACTTTCGAGCGAGCTTTACTGGGTTTGTTTGGTTTTCTGTAAGTATTGTATGGATAAAGCTGTCTGTGTGGATTAATTTGTCTGTATAAATTGGGAAGGTTTTTCGGTTTATCATAGATGTAAGGAGCTTGTCATTATTAATCTGGAGGGACAGGCTTGGAAAAACTTGGCTTTCTGCATAAAGCCCCCTCTTAGAAGCTTACTGAATAAGCCACTTTCTATATCATTAAGTCACTACCAAATAGTTATCTATAGCTGAATGAGTAAGCTGTGAGTCCCATTAAGCTCATTAAGCTGCTAACAAACATGCTCTTAACTTTGATGTGCAGATGAGTTAAGGGAGTATTTCTCTTCGTATGGTGGTATAATTGAGCATCAGATTATGCTAGATCATGTCACAGGACGATCAAGAGGCTTCGGTTTTGTTACATTTGATAGTGAAGAAGCCGTGGAAAAGATATTTGCCGATGGTCAACTCCATGAACTTGGAGGCAAACGAGTAAGTTAATGTAGAGTTATATACAAGACTGATTGAAGTTAATTATGTATTTTTGAGAAACAGAAGAGCTGATAAGATGTCGGTTTATGTTAGGTGGAGATAAAGAGGGCGGAGCCAAAAAGAGCTGGCGGTGATTTCCCATTTGACAACCAGGGGCGGCGTGGTGGTGGTTCCAAGTCGTATGGCGGTTTTGGTAGGGGTTCAGGTGGATATGGTGGAAAAGCGGATAGAGGGTATGATGATTATGGGGGTGGATATGCTGGTTATGACAGTTATGGGGCCGGCTATGGAGGTGGCTCTGCGGGTTTCTACGGTGGTTATGGTGGATATGGGTATGGGTTTGGGTTTGGTGGGCCTATGTACGGTGGTGCTGGATTTGCAGGTGCTGGTTATGGTGGTTATGGTGGGCCTGCTGGCTATGGGGGCGGTAGGGCTTATGGAAGCGGTAGTGGTTATGGTGGTAAAGGATTTAGTAGGGGTGGTGGTTCTGGTGGATATGGATATGGGTATGGGTATGATGGTAGTAAAGGGTATGATAACAGTGGTGGTGGCGGCAGCAGTGGCGGCGGCAGTGGTGGTGCTAGGTTTCATCCGTACAGGAAGTAAGACTATATTATATATAGCTAGATGACATGAAAGTTGGAGCTTTTGGGTTTCTGTTATGCTTTTCGTGTTATGTGAATTTTCTTGAATTGTATTCTATTAGCAGTAACCGAGAGATTGATTGAAGGAGGTCGAATTGTACCTTACGGAAGTATATTTTCTGACGAGTTCGTGAAACCATGCTCTGGTTTCTATGCCTTCGCCCCTGAACGGTTTATGGGGTTTTCGGTTTCATGATTCAATCTCCTTGAAGAGGCCATTTTTTAGAAGACCATTTTAAATCATTCTTTCCAATTGATGTGATGTTCACATAATCACGTGTGAAGTTGTAAATCTGCATCTTTAAATAGGTAGCTTCACATATGAAGATTAAATGAGAATCCATTAAAACTTGAAATATAGCACATGGTATAATATCTTGGGATCATGTTGGTTGAAGAAGCTTAATGTATATGAAGTTGTATGTAAATGGTTGAACAAATGGTGCTTGATAGACCCAATGGTGTAAATATTCATCACGGATGTTTGTAAAAAAGTTCGTTTTAATTATTCATGATGAATGAGACAAATGAGGAGACGTGATGTTTTCTTGTTTGTCTCCCGGTTCAAATGAGAACACATGATGAGGATGAATAAGGACAAATGACGTTTTCTTGTTTGTCTCCCGGTTCAAAACAAAAACAAGGTTTGCAACTTCCCTTTTCTGTATGAAGTTGTAACTAACAAAATTGGATGAGGAAGTAGACAACGAGTTTGTATGCAATTAGATAAAAAAAAGAGAGATGAAATTAGATAAAAAAATAATCTAGAATCAGTATTACATCCTAGTAACTGTTCATCTGTATGTTATATACATATATGTACAAATAATTTGTAAGTAACTTTCTCGGTTTGCATATGTGCATAGAAACCTAAAAACGTCTTTAATTACTTGTATGTATATATGCATACAATACAAAAGAATGGTTAACAGGAGATGAAAGTGAAGTTTTGGAAGGCATATAACAAGTGTTTATTGATAAGTGTAGTGTTATACAACTAGCAAAGCATAATCTGAAGGCCAAGTCTTTAGTATAACACAACAAACTATCTCAAACAACAAAAGCAATTCTGTCCCAAAAAAGCTGTAAAAACAAGAAACAACCCACAGTCTCAAAAGGAAATCAATCCTCTCAACTATATCACAAGAAAACACAGCTCAAATCCAAAATACATATATATATATATATATATATATATAACATATATATATATATATAATATATATAACTGACTTTTCTAATATTAAGTATAAGGGAGGAGGCCATACCTGTGAAGAACAAGAACCTTAAAAATGCATTCATATCCCAAATCATGTTTGTTTGAAGATCATCTCCTTTTGCTTATTGTGAACTCTGCAAGATTTTCTTGATGACAGTAGCAGAACACAAATCTTTTCAAGCCCATCAATCTGATTTCAAACAGATTCAAGATTGATGTATGCATTACAACCAGTTCTCAGGTTTTCATGGCCTTTTTTGTCTTTTTGGTCCATTCGGGTTCTCCGATGCAGATTTTCTCTTGAAAGAACTCTCCCCTCTTAGTTTTAGATCTTCGTAATCGATCATATACTCATTTTCCGGCCCGGGTGTACTAAAATCAGCCGGGTTTTGGTTGATTGTGCAAATGGTTGTTCCTGGTGGGTCGACTCTTGGCCCGAACGCTCTTTGTGCCCCTAATGAGACCCGTCCACTTCGATCTTCAGTTGCATGCCATGGAAGCGGAAAAACGTACGCATCTTCAGGTCGGCATCCGTGGCTTAATGAAGGAGAATACGTACTTCTTGATTTCTCCTCTTGTGGTTTATGATAAACTTGGTGACCGTTAACAGAGGGCAACTTAACATCTTGATCAGTTCGGAATCTACCAGCAGGTAATGAAGAACTTTCAGGAACCGAAAAGAAGTGGGTCGAGCTTCCAATGGGCTTCTGTACACCGGGTCTCATCCCAGAGTACGGGAAGCAAGAATTTGCCATCGGGTTTGTTTTTCCAGCCATGGTTGAGTTGCAATGATTGTAACACGGAGAAAGAGGTCTTGTGAACTTTTTCCCGTCCATAAATGGATGATGACTCGACTTCCCTGCATCCATCAAGCTAAGCAATTGCATTGCGGGTATGGCTTCGTTAGAATATGAAGAATCTAGCGAAGATATATGCTTCGAATTCGGCTCGATTCTCTGTTCTTTTGGATGATATGGACTACGATATTCCCTCGATGTCAAATCTAAAGATCCCGAATTGTTCTGTTCTTCAACTACATTTGGAGCCACAACATTTAAATCCAAGTTCATGATGCTCTTCCCCTTATCCTTTTCCGAGCATTTTGCATATTCTTGACCAAATGACACGTTGGTGCCATTTCGATACGGGCTGAATGCTTCTAAGACCTGCATATTGGTGGTTGTATAGCGGTGGGCATCGGCTATCTTCTTATTTCCGCCTTTAGATACATGATGGTAACATGGATCATGGTGTCGTTGAGTTCCAGAATTCGATATCCAAATCCCACTTGACGGTTGCTTCTGACACTGTGAAAAAGCATCAAACATCGCAAACGAAGAAACCTGGTCTTGATGGAAGAAGCCTGTGGCTGGATTTCTCATGGAGGTGGGACCCATACTCTCGCTTGTTGGCATCATGGAAATCGTTGCAACTGAAGATGAAGGCCGTATCATGCTCAGATATTCTTGATGTAAACACATTTCATTCATACCAACTTTTGGAAAACCCGATGTATTCGGTATTATCCAACTGTTATTGCTACCACCAGGTGGACGGTGATGACTCCTCGCTTCACATAAACTCCTCTCGTATTGATTTTTTGCCATAAGCTCAGCAATTTCCCTTTCATCTGACCTCCCGATCGGAAACATCTTTTCTTGTCTTTCATGATTATGAGGCCTCATTACATCTGAATACAATCTAACTCCACTGTTCCTCTTGTATGGATCAGAGAAATCCTATAAACAGCATAAACTTCAATCATAAGTAATGTATTATTTATATGCAAGAATCACAGAGGCAGGATGCTAGATTTAGGGTCTGTTTTTTAGCAGCTTAATGAGCTTAATGGATATTCAGTCAGCTATACATGACTATTTGGTAGTGGCTTAATGACATAGAAACCGACTTATTCAGTGATTTTCTAGAGGGGAGCTTATGCAGAAAGCCAAGTTTTTCTTTTCCAAACCTTCCCACTTCAGATTAAAAAACAAACTCCTTTCCATCAATGGGAAAATCCTGCCAAATAAAAACCTTCCCAATCTATATAGATAGGTTAATCCACACAAACAACTTTATTCATACACGACTTAGGGTCCGTTAGCAGCTTAAGGAGCTTAATGGACATTCGGTCAGCTATACATGACTGTTTCGTAGTGGCTTAATAACATAGAAAGTGGCTTATTCAGTAAACTTCTAGGGGAAGCTTTATGCAGAAAGCCAAGTCTTTTATAAACATGCCCTTTCAAATTAAAAAAACACGGTCCTTCCATCTATGAAAAACCCATCCAAACAAAAACCCAATCTATACAAATAGGTTAATCCACACAGAAGACGTTATCCGTACACGACTTGATGGAAAACCAACCAAACAGCATCTTACTTGTTACCAAATAGTTCCCATTCTCAAACACTTCGTTAACATTGTGGGCGACAAAATGTTAGATGCTTAATCTAGGAACACAGTGATCCATAAAAACGGGGAAAAGGCAGGGTAGTGCGAGAGGGAAGTAAAGCCACAAAACAAATATACAAGAATGACAGTACAGAAATGCAATACTCTTTGTTGTAAACAGTACAACTCTATTAAAAAAAGAGTCGACATACCAATTTCTGATGCCCGGAACAACTGCCGTATTGAAGCTGTGTAAGAGGCCACTGCTCCTGCACGAGTGCGGGTCTGGGAGCATGTCTATTGCTGACATCATGAACATATCCTTCCTTTGATTTCAAATCTGATGGGACCCTATGTGGAATACTCGACTCTCCCAAGAAGAAATCAGTTCTTCTACCATGATCTTGGCTGGGAGTTCGATTCAATATCGATGGCAGAGGACGAACCTGGGCTTGTGGGTCATGATTTAGAGAGAGACCAAGTCCTAACTCTGTGTCCGACTGACTATCCTTTGCTCTAGAACCACCTACATTTATCTTCCTTGAATCCTCTCCACAGAATTTACTTTTGAGAGGGTTCCTTGACACCTTCTTAGAAGCATTAAAGTTCTTGTCGGGCTGTGGTGGAGGAGCCATTAAGTTGGAGTAGGGTTCAGTTCCTCTGCCTTTAGAGATGTCGTAAGTTGGTCTTGAAGCACCACTGGCAGCTGTAACCTGATCGTCTCCTCTTCCCATATCACTGAATATCGATCGCCAAGCAGTCACTGGATCACTACCGACCTCATCAAGAACTGAACTCCTCTGAGTCGCATGTTTATGCCATTGATACTTGTTGGTCTCTTGTCCACCTTCACCAGCTCCCGGATCTCTACAATGTTCAACCACGCTGGTTTTCGCAACAACATTGTTCTTCGAGGATTTGGCCTTTTTACCAACATAACCTGGAGTGGTTATATCGACAGATCTCTGATCCTGATCATGAACCATCTTCCTTTTAATCTGGGGAGAAGCTGCTGACGGAGAAGATGCTCTTGGACCCAAGCGAAGGGCGGAAATTTCCTTTTTCTGTTGCTGGTTTTTAGTATTTCCAGACAGCAACTCTTTCAACAGACGCACTTTGCGAGCCTTTCGTCGTGGAGGTCCATTTGGGTAATCATTATGTTGACAGGATTGGAATGGTTGGTCCACAAGAGTAGTCGTGATCTCCTTGACTATGCTAGTTTTTTGGAGATCCTCATATTCTCTCAACCCACTGCTCTCTTTCTCTCCTGACACACCAGCATTTGCCTCTGCAACAACATTAGTGTCAATGGAACACAATTTAGTTGGTTCTTGAGGAACTGCATCTTTAGCAGGGATTTCTTGAGAAAATTGACCGTCAGCGGCTCCTAAACCAGCAAGGATGCTATTATCATCATTCCCATTGTCAACAGGTTTAAGACCTGATGAATGAAAAAAAAGATTATGTACAGAAGATCAAATAAATGCGAAAGTAAAACTAGCAACCTGTCTGGCATCACTTCCTTCACTTGATGTCTTTACTAATTTAAACGAAAATTACCTGAAGTCCCTTCGCCAAAAGGGAGCACAGATACTCGATTACAATCTTGTTGAGGGTTAGATAACTTTGCACAAGGCCGGACCATGCTTTGATCACAGACAGAGGTTAATGCGGTCTCACGTGAGGTATTTGATCCACAGTTCTGTAAGCACCTTTGGCAAAGCCAATATCTAAATTGCGGGACATCTATAGGGGGCAGTTGTTCAATAAAAGGTAGCAAGTTGCTGCGACCTTTTTCACGCATCTCAGCAACATAACCACTGGGTGGATAACAGATAAAGAATGTCAAACAAGTAATCACAATGAAGTATAAATCTGTTGTTCATTGTACAGAGGATAGAGATTTCTGTCCACAAAGTGACCCTGATAGAATATGTCATACCACACACAAATAAACCACATATCATGTATATGTTAAAATGAAAACGCAAACAAGAAATTGGGTTTGTGTTATATCTCAACAAAGATCCTAAGATATGACACAGTCAGGAAAGCATCACACTAATTTGTACAAGGAGCAAACAGACAAAGCTATATATATATGCATGCTATAAAATTAACATGGATTAAAGATGGTTGGCTGGATATAAGATTTACTCATAACTCTTTTCTAGATAATCTCAATAGAAAAACAATAGGTAATGTGCTAACTGCAAAAGAAACAGATTGATATTGTGTACAGAAGATGACCACAATAGATATGGATATTTAGAAGAAATAGCTATTTCTTCTCTAAAATGAGACTGTGAAAATAAAAAGACACCATAAAGTCTCTTCAATCAGTTAAACATATTCACAGAGATAAAGACTAATATAACTTGCCATTGATAGGAAGAACCTGGTTCTATCAACAGTAGGTAATAATAAACAAAATAAAAGCAAAAAAGGATGGCATGATAACAGAAGCATGTCATAGAGATCGGGCATTTCATGTCAAGATTTCTAATACATGAATTAAAGTCTTGCTTATAAATAATTTACTGAGACTACTACGTATAGCAGCCTCATAACTTGTCAAGAAAATTCCACTCGAGATAATTCTCACTCCAAACTTGTGCCTGGGAACGAGCTTAAAAGTGTGTGTGCAAAAAGACTACTGCATAGTCAGTGATCAACAGTCAACTCAACTACAGAATATGTAACAGAAATTTAAACAGCAAGCCTTACCGTATAGAAAAATGCCTACACTTTTGAACATCACCCTTCTCCTTGACAATGCCAAGTTCGATACATAATGAATCAATCTTAATGGTTGAGCTGCTGGAGTTTAGTCCAGAAGCAACATTGTTGCCTTGAGCACGACATCCCCCAATAATCATATCAGCATCTACCGAGACAATGCTCCTTTCATCATTGCTATTCATGCTTAAGATATCACTGTCACAAGGGAGCACCGACTGTGATTAAGCTCACATGAAAATTGTATTAATATAGCAAAAGAGTAATATTAATGACTAGTGACAGTTAGATTTAACTAAATTTGGTAAAATTTAGACTGAGAATTTAGATTTGCATAGATGTTCTTGTGTGGTCATACTAATTAAGTCCATAATGAGAGGATCAATGATACAATATGCATGCAAAATTTCATTGCAAAAGACTAGCCTAGCAAACAAGTAAGAACATTATGCCATCCGTTAAGTTAACATTGAGAATATAGAAACTAAGTGGAGGCTAAAAGCAAAGGAAAACATAATTACAGCTCAATTTAACCATGGTAAAATATATCATAAATAGAAAACACTAGTGAAATATCACATGTATAGAACACAAAGTAACATGAACGTCTATGAGTTGATGAAACCAAATTAATATTTCTAATTTTTACATCCATTCCATTTTTCTAAACTGGGAGGTATAGTTTAGTTCAATCAACAGACATAAAAAGCAAATCCTAAAATTTAACAATAAAAAACACAGTATCTATTAGCTAAATATGAACCACAGACAGTTTCACTTGAGAGCTTAAATTTCAAGTAAAAGTTCATACATGTTCATAGAAATTTTATGACAAACCCAGGTGATATACATACACAAGCCAAAACTTCAGCATGAAAGATCAGTCGGCATGCATATCAGAAGTATAGAAAGCACAGCACAGCACAGCACAGCACAGCACAGCACAGCAAACCCATAATATATGCAGAAAGTAAACCAGGCTTAAAGCTGAAATATAACACTATTACATGAGAGCTCGTTAATGTAACCATATAGTCACATACAAGTATAACAAAAACGAAGTCAACGAAAAAAATGAAAAGATAAAAACCAACTGAACCCTATGAGTCAAGGAAGCCAACGATTTCTAACTGCTTACACCCAACCAGTGTCTCTAAAATGAAGCTATAGCTTCTACATCCTATCACCAAACGCGAGGAACAGCTCAGAAATTTATCACCAACAATCACAAGATCCATTTAGTCAAACAGATGAAAGAACCCTAGCAACTAAACGAAATAGTAAAGTAGAAATTCGACTATAATTTCCAAGCATAGATACACAGCTAAATAGAGTCAACAAACACTGACACAAGTAACAAAATATATGATCAAGTCAACCCATCAATTAGGGTTTTCTCTTTCCCCAGCGCTCCCACTAAAAAAGTAAATAAAAAGGATAAAGCATTTACGGTTCTCGAGGAAAACCCAATTCAAATCCATACCATTTATCCCAAATTGACAACTACCATCCCGTTTCACCCAGACAATTACACATACATAGATTTTTAGCTAAACGATCCATTGAATCCATATCCTTAGCTGTCAAACATAAAGATAAACACAAGTTCATTCAAAGCATAGCATAAAATAGAACATACATTAAAACCCAGAAAGCATATAATAAACCAAATCAGAAGTAAATAAACAACATGAAACTCGAAAAATTACAGGTATTGAGCTCAAATCATAAACTATAACCAATCCACATAAAACCAAAAGCAAAAACAAATCAAAACTACCGACAAACCCAAACCCAACAGATCTGGAAACCATTTGATTTCTTCAACAAAAACACTAAAAACAACCATCAGTAGATCCAAAACACAAACACGAACCTAAATAACTTAACTAAACTTACAGATTTGAAGGCGTTCGTGAGTAATTAGAGCGCGAATATCTTGAAAACCCTAGTCGTCACCAATTTAGGTTTCGGAGAAATAGAGAGAGAAACATAGAGTGAGAAAGTGTGTGTGTGCTTCTAGAGAGAGAAAGAGTGTGTGTGTGTGAAGGGTTTTCATATACAATAATTCCACGTATTCGGAGGAGAGAGAAACACACAGTGAACGTGTAAAGTGTGTGAAAAGGTGAACCAATCAAATTGCCACGTCAGCAAACTGGTGAGTGCGAGTTGTCTGTTATTGCAAACTCACCCCACGCGCCTTGTTAGGTGACTGGTCAATTTCTGGTCAGCGGATAAGTCCAAAAGATGCTGCGCACTTAAACCCACTCTGATTGGTCCGTGCTGTACACGCTCGTAAAGGTGCGTTTGTTTGGTTTGTATTACTTTTGGTGCCAGGGGGCTTCAAAAATTAATATGGAATTAATTGGAGGGTCAATTGAAAACCACCACTTTTTATGTCTTTGAGGGGCAAATTTGGAAATACATTAAAGGGAATGCTTAAAGAAATTAGGGTTTGATTATTATTTTATTTAAAAATATATATAATAAAATTTAATTACAAATAAATGGTATTTAAATTGAGATTAATATTATTGATTTCTGTAATCTTTTTATTAAATTTCAATTTAAGTCATTAAAAAATAAACCTTGATTAATTTGTGACAATAAAAAAGTATATTTTTTTTGGACGAGACGAATTTAATAATTACACAGCTTCAACGTTTATAAAATATCTGAATTCATTTAAGAATTTCAACATATATTTTTGTTTTCGGAACAAAATTTACTGAGATATTGTAATGGGTATTAATGGATTTAAAATGCCATATAAAGTAAACTTTACTCAATCGGTAACATTTAGTCTGAAACGAATTAGAGAAAATGATATTTAATTTCAAAATAAACTTGTTTTTTTCCTTGTTTATTAATAAATACGAGTTTGATGGTGTTTTAACTACATTGACGGCTAAAACGGTCATTTCAGTTTGTCGTATGTTGGTTTTAGTGTAATTACTGAAAAGGCAAAATTGGCAAACGTTCACTTGAAATTAATAAGCCCGTTGAAACTTTTCGTCTAAAATATCTTACCAAAATAAGGGGAAAATCTTTACGAAGATCTATTATTTCAGTATGGAATCCATCGGTTAGAATTCACGAGACGCTGTATATTTGTCGTCGGTCAAATCATTCACGGGTAAACATCTGACAAATGAATTCTGTTTTGTTTTCGGTTATATGAATTGAATCATCGATTTTGTAGCATTGAGCAATTACAAGAGGATTGTCTGAAGCTATTCCCTTATGATATATAACTCCAGTTAATTGGAATAATACAGATTTGAAAATGATCACTTAATTATTTCGTTAATTTCTCGAACCGATATATTTTTATTTCTCATAATCGTAACGAAAATAAATCGAAACCGAAATAATTCGTATGACGTAAATCTTAAAAGAAATTTAGAGATGGAAAATATGATGGAACACGTAGCCATTATTGTTGTACTACATGTCTACACATCATGTACATCTAGTAATTAAATAACACAAATTAAAACATTAATTAATTAACCTTCGTCGTCGATTTGAAAAAAAAAATCATTAGATGATCGTTGCGTAAAAAACCGAAAGATTACGATAAAGTCAGGAGACGTATTCTATCTGAATTGTCAAGAACTGATTGGTTCTAACGGGTTTTTTTTTCTATTCGTTAGAAACTAATCCATATATAGTATAAAGTCCTAAAAGTCCGTTCATTTGAATAATATTCATAAAGAGTTAAACACATGGAGCCATAAATAAGACGACGCTTCTCATTTTATATATCACGGGGCCCATATTTATTACAAAATATATCTGTTGAGATATAACGGTTTAAAACAAAATTAACAGAAGTTACTTGAAGATGATCGATGGTCAGCTGAAGGTACAGAATCAATTAGTTTTATTATATGATAATCGACTTTGGGCATGTGGGTGTAGTCAGTTTAAGGTCGAACACCCATAATTATGATAAAGAAATAAGACGTTTGATGTCTTCGTTAGGGTTTATATATCTTTTGGTATAACATTCATCTGAAAACAGCTACGCATATCTCCCTTACAAGTTCGGTTATCTTTTTTTTTTTGGGATTATGCTTTTGTACAAGTCGGGTTCTTTATGGTAACGATTCTTGATCTACCCTTTGAGTAGAGTCAGTCTGCTTACATTCCATCTTTGACCCTGGTAGTTTTGAGTAAAATATACTGGTTTCATCTAGTTTAATTAATTTAGTTTATGTACAAGTAACTTCACATTAAATACGGAATCCATATATCTTGATAATAACAACTGCCACCACATGCGAGCTACAAAATCTCTTGTGGTTAAAGTTCAATCCAGAACAACTTCTATTAATGATATTGACGTTAAGAAGAGTTGTATGTTGGTATGATAAAAGATGACGAATATATTGTCTATTACTACTTCATGCGGTTCATTTTTGTTATCCCCCTGAAGATCTAGCCATCGTGTTCTGGCTGATTAGCGTACAGGGCTGTTGAGGGTATCGCCTGGAATAGACCTTAATTCACATTGTGGCCTATATATAACCGAAGCTAGTTTCAACCTATGATCTAATGGATTATGCATTGTTTTTGCAAAGGCGACATCATATATCGACTTGCTGATGTCCAATGTGGAATTATGAATGCCCTCCTGAACACATCGCCATACATGAAACCTAGATTCTAGTTGTGCTAAATGAACAACCCTTTCGGGGCTAGAAACTTGGCGTGTATAATGGTTTGGAGCACGAGGACATTACAAATCCATCTGAATCAGAATCCCATTTGACAGTTAGGCCTGTTGTAAGCCAAAAGGGTTTGTTATATACACGTTAAGGCCTTGGGCGAGTATGACAATATCTGTCTGCCACTTTCAAACCTCGCATTCAAGGTTTTCTGTTGAAACACATTTACAAAGTCGGAAAGCTTCGACTCAAAAGTTCCAGCAATCCAGCAAGAACAATGCATCCGGCTCGACCAAAAGAAGCATGATCATTAACCCTAGATATCGTTTATGCCACCATGGCCTATTAATTAATATAAGTATCGAAAAGTCTCGGTTGACTAGTTATATATAAGCTATGTATTTAAAAAACTATCTCAAGTAGCGTTTCAATAAATTCAAGATATTTTTTTTTCCTATTATGCCCCTTGTATTCTTCTCGATCAGTTAATTTTTTCTATGTTCTTTTAAATTGTTTCACATAACCAGTTAATTTACAAACTAACTGTTACCATCATAACTTATTTATCAGCTAATTTTGCTAATTAACTTATCATTTATTTTACCAAAAGCAAAAAACTACTTCAGTTAGGATCAAATACCAGATGCAATTGTGAACTACGTAATTGTTGTTGCACCCTTCAACTAGAGAAAAGAAAACAACATATGCTCAGTAGTCACCGAGACTAAAAAAATTAAGGTAGATAATCGACTCATGGTTAGAACGGGGGTAATATTTTGAAACCACACTTGGTCGTGGGGTTTAACTTTTGACGATGACTATATATGATTGTTTTGTTCTTCGGTTTCTAATTTTTGTAATTAGGGTTTATGGTAAAAAAAAACGATTACAAACGAGATGGCATCTCAATACAAGTAAATGCATCAATATTCCAAAGATCATATCGAGCGTTGCATTAAGAACAACAACTAGATTATGTTCAGGTACATCCTTTTCGCTTTGCTGTTTTGAATTTCTTTTGCTACCATCATAAAAAAACGATCAATTAATCAAAGAACAAGTTCACAACAAGCAAACTAATTAAGAACACACTCAAATTGATTAACATGGATTGATAGGACGGGGAATCTATACTTTTTCTTTCGGAAAAACTCCGAAAATCATATGCATCCATCGTAATTCATTGAAATCTCTCTCACACACATGTATGTATATGTGTATATATATATATATATATATATTTATTTGTTGACTATCACACACACGTCACCTATGCTAATTCATTAAAAAACCCGAACCAAATGAACCCATGAATTCCGCACCAAGAAGGGTCGGTGAAAAAGATAAGAAAATTGAATGTATGCAGTCCTTACGTTTATCCAGAAGAGTATAAAGATATGGTAATTTATTATTACCATGGTCAAAAATGAGGTTTTTTTTAACAATGTTGGCTTTTGAAGTAATACAATTAATTGGAGGATATACAAGAGATATTACTGTAAAAAGATTCTGTCATATGTTCATTTTGGTTATTTTTTTAATTTTTTTTTCCTTTTCCAAATTTCAAGATTTTTTTCAAGATTTCTTGTTTTTTTCAATTCCTTTGACATGCTACCAGTTAAACAAAAGGAAAAAAAAACATCATATAAACAAGAAAATAGGTTTGAAAGCACTAAAAGATCAAGAACATGGAACTACTTAACAAGAAAATAGCTTTCATATATTGAGAATTGTTATTGTTCTTGAACATTCATTTCTACTTCAAATATATGTATATATATAGATATATAGCTCATGGATTTAAGCCTAGATAGAAAAACACACACACACACACACATAACTTCTAAACATAGAGAAACACACACACACACACACATATATATATATATATATATATATATATATATATATATATAGACAGAAAAGGCTATTGACTTAGAAGTTGTCTCCATGGTTGATGTATTCATGGTTGGAAGGCATAATTGGATCAAGTGAATAATCCTCCCAAGAGGGGATGCTAAAGTGAAGACGCCACTCTTCTTCTTCTTCCCCCAAAATTGTTCCAAAATAGTCATCATCAGATTGATAAACACTGGCGTTGAGATTGTTTCCAGACCTCACCGTACCATGGTTGCCACGATCACCGCTACCATCACCGATAACCGAGTGTCCCATCATTTGATGGTAGTTATAGCTTTCAGACCCAAACAAAGATGGTTCATACAGATAGTTGGATTCATGATGATAATTGGGTTGCTCTAGAGTTTGGTCATTGAAAAAGATTGGGTCCATCCAATCTGATGATCGTATTGCTGATGACATAACAT